AGGAATCAGGCCTATATTATTTTCCTCCACAAGCTCTCCTATTCTCCTTGAAACACCACTGTACTTCAGAGAGAAATACAAAGAAATATCAACAGAGGTGAAATGAACAGAGAAACTAACAGAGAAAGACTGTATTAACAGTCCTTATAAATAAAATTGAGTCTAAATACATTTTTCCGCACTTTAGGTCATTTAATTTGGTAGCTACAAAAAGCATTTATGACATGCCATAAGATACACAAGCATCCAATGGATAGAAAGTCTACTGCAAATCTACTGTTGCCACACAGGTAAGTGGCCTAATGACCAAGAAAAAGTGGATGTTTGTCACACAGGTGACTTAGCTCAACACTGTTCTTATGGAGTATTTGCACCCCCACTAAATTGAGCTGAGACATGCAGTCAGAATGTCTCCAAAAATACCACCGTGGCTTTGTTTGCTTTTTTCTTCCTCTCTAAAAGTGTAACCATATGCTAAGTTTAGTGGGTGTTTTCAGTTGTTTCCTAGTTTGGACTTTATTTAAATTTAAAAAATATATTTGATTGCCAACCAGTAACAGTCAGAAATAATTCTAGTCAAGTCAGCATAAACCAGGTACAAATTAGCATGAGAACTGTGAGGAACAGCCTCAGGTACATCAGTTTCAAGATCATACAGTACATCTAATGCCCAAGCAGTGTGAACTTTTTAGATTGCCGTGGGACTTTGAATATTATTACCAGAGAATAACACTTCTTTCAGAAAATAGAYAATTTAGACAAACTACTTTTAACTTTTTTTAATGTCTGTTCCCAGAAAACTCACCTTTTTTTTATAGAGAACTGCTTTTTAACATGCAATAGTTTAACAGTATTTTTACATTAGACTTCCCAAAGTCAAAATTCATGTTCCTAGAATTTGTCACCCCACTATTGTCTGTCTCAAAATGCTCTTTGAAGCTTCAACTCACATTAACATTCATAAAGAAAAGTAAAAAACCTCAAAACAACAAAAAAAAACCCAGCACCTCACAAATCTGGGTTGTTTTTTTTTTTAAAAAAAACCATGAGTCCTCAGTGCAGATACCCAAACTGTAAGCAGTATAAATCAAAGCCTTTTTGAACACCTAACGTGCATTACCTACATATTTTTATATAATGTCACCATCTCCTAATGCCCTATCTCTCAGCTCTCTGCTCCATTAGTGACCAAAAAGAATGCTTTTTTGCTTCCTGGTAACATCAGAAACTGAAAACACAACCAATTACTTGCTGACCAGGAACTAAGAGTTGGACAAGCTCATTGCCCACCCTCCTGATCCAGCCTGAATAGGAAGATTATTGATGAGCAGCCCACCAAAGTGCCAAAACAAACCTTTGTAGGAATTGCCACAAGCCAGCAAACCATGTCCTGACCCTGACAAAAAGCACTGGCTCTGCACAGGACGGTGCACACCAAGCCTGGGAAAGAAGCAGTGAACAAACCCAAAGGCCACCTGAGTTTACAGGGATGACAGTACATTCCTCTCCTTTGCTCAGAAYGTCTCTGAGGTACTACAGAACCTGCCTAGGAGGTACCACGGAGCACTGGCCACTGCCCAGCAGCCCTCGTGGTCACTTCTGGAAGCAGGGTGGCTCAGCATGGCCGGCTCTTGTGCCTCTGGACTGCCCTGCAATCAAGCAGAGCAGCCTCTCCTGCCATTCACACAAATTAATTCAGAGAACACTGCTTCCAGAATAACAAGGAGAGATGCACGAGTAGAGTGAGAGCTCTCTTGGCATCTGATTCAAATCACAGCTTCTTGCAAGGAACTATTTTTAAGTTTTATATCAATCTGCTTGAGAAAGGTTCCTTCTGCTGCCTACAAATGTGCAAACTCCCCCTTCGAAGAAACACAGCTCAGGACGGCAAGATCCAGCCCTGTACTTTCAACCTAAGCAAGATCAGATATTTYATGACCAAAGCACTGCACATCACACAACGTTCCTGCAGAGCATGTTCTGGTGACCCCCCCTGAGCATCAGTGAGCACCCCCATGACCTTCAAGGAGTCCTGTGTGTTCTTCACAAGATTACAGGTAGCACACAGTCACCCGTGACACAACCCACTCTGAGGCAGTGTGACTGCTTCTGGAAGCATTACTGCTTTTCCCACTGCAACTGGCACGGGACTGCTATAGGAGACTGAGGRAAAAGGGAAAAAGGGAGATGCAGTAAGCCTATGGATGCTGTGCATGACCTGACCAGTGAGGTGAAACCATTGTTCCCTGGGTTATCAGAAGTTCCTGTATGAAAGCATTGTTCGAGCTTAAGAGGTCTGCGAGAAAAAAAAACAAAACAACAAGCAACAGCAGCACACAATGGATGCAGATAAGCAAGGGCTGAACAAAGCCCTGGGTGGCTGCAAGACAACGGGAAAACTTATTAGCTGCAAGCATCCTATATCCTGCTTCCAATAAAGCAACGCAGATGTTCTGCTAATGCAGGACGTGAAAAGACAAGAGAGAACTAAGCAGCTATTGAGCCCTCCACAGGAGAGAGGGTCAGTGCTCCACAGCTGTTGGGCAAAACAGGATGGGCATGAAAAGCCTCTTACCAGGTCTGAGAATGTAACAGCTCTATTCACKGGTAAGGGTGGCCATTGTTACAGCCATGAGCCCCTCAAGACCACTGCAAACAGGGCTTTGCRAGTCCAGCTCTGGCCCAAGACCACAATGACCACTGTTTGAGGGTTTAGTCCCCAGGGGCATTATCTCCACCGGGAAATGTGTGATGCTAGACACACAGAAACAGGCTGCAGCATGGGGGACCACAGCCCTCCATGGCACACAGAAACGGGGCTCTGTCCACAGAGAGCTGCCACATCCGTGGGTCTGAAGGAAGTGCTCCAATGAACTGCCTTCTTATCTGTAAAGTGCGGTGCAGAAATAGCCCCATCACCAACCCTTGGCCGAGTGCTCTGCACAGTCAGACCTCTCCTCAAGTACATCCCAAAGACAGAGATGTCAGCTGTCCATGAGGCTTTCCTAAGTCAAGTCCAAAAAATCAAGTCCCTGAAAAATTCAGGCCACTTAACCAGCACATACTGGGCATCTGCTACTGTGTGGAGAGGAAACTGCAACAAGAATGTAATTTAACAGCCAGTTACACCGGAAACACTCCAAGCTGCAGAAGATCACACCCTACTCCTTCCACATTTTTTTTTTTGTTTTCTTAACATGATGTTCTCCATCCCCTCCCATGCCCACTGCTGAAGTGGGAGAAGTGTTTGCTCMGACCGGTGGGTGGGATTTGAACCCCAGCTGCCCCTGGACCTGGTCCTGTACATCCTGCCAGCCCCAGCTGTGCAGAGAGGGCAGGCACAGAGAGCCTGGGCATGCTGCAGGAACTGCACTGCCAACAGCACAGTGGGGAAGCGTCACACACCGGGTGACAGTACAGCTCAGAGCCCAGCCAAGCTGGGTGTCTGCACAGGGGACACCTCCTCAAGATGCTGCAAACACCAGCAAGAGGCACAAAACTACCCTCCACAGTGTGAGAGCACTCTTTTCCATTCATAAATAAACACTATAAAATATGAACATATTAATCTCTTCATTAAATGTATCTGCACTGCCACTGGCTACAATTCAAAAGTTTCAAGGGCATAAAGAACAAGATTTTTTCCCCTTCAATAAAAAAAATGTTTGTCTCTCGCTGTTGGCAATGTAAATGAACATTTGAAAGTCACTGTACAACTAAGAGTAATTGCATATAATCAGATTAAAAGGAGAAAGCCGAATGAGAACAGAAAACTTGAGCTTCTTGGAAAAAGAGAACAGAAGCAAAAATATAAAGAAGCCACTAACAGGAACAAAATGGGTAAACCAGTGGTAGTGCAGATCCAGTCCTGGTCTGAACCTCTGCATATATAATTCTACCAGTTCTGTTACTCATTATGCTCATAAAAATAAACCCAAATCTTTCCAAGTAACAGTTGAAGTTCAAGGGAAAACATTCAAGATTGTAAAATTTTCCAGACTCTTTCTAGAAATTTTAACAGGTTAATTACACTGGTCAAAACATTAAACACAATGTCAAGAATTTTCTACTGCCATCAGTTATCCACATGATCCCAGAGTAAAAATACTTTTGAGGAGTCATACATTTG